ACGTGTGCAGATACCTCGCTCCGCTGAGCGTCGGCTACTTGCATACAAAGACATGGACCTGTACGCGCGCTACCGTTCATAATAGTGGTAATTGACTGAGAAGAAACCCACAAAAACCAGGTCTGGTTAGCATCCGCGCGAACAGCCCTCGCGCGAGGAACGCTCATCGTCGATGCTCCTCTCGTTGAAATCCGCTCGTTGGATGATCTCGCGCCCCCGCTCCCCATCCTCCCGCCAGATCTCCACCGGCGTCCGCGCCGCGCCCTCGCCCTCGACTCACCACCACCCTCCTTCCGGAACCGCCGCAGCGCTGGGCGGACGCATACGCTCGTCGGCTCCCACAGCCGCTCGACGTCGTCCTCCCGCGCGAGCCCCGCCGCGAGCTCTGGGGGCAAGTCCCGCGCGCTCAGCCCCCGCTCGCTTTCGCGCGCGTTGTCCCAGGCGGTCGTCCCGGGGCGGCAGGAGCGGAGCGCGAGGATGCGGAGCGACGGGAACGCGCGCGCGCGAGCGTCGGTGGGAGCGCGAAGAGCGCGAAGAGCTGGCGGAGCTCCGCCTCGCACAGGCGGTCGACCGTCGCAATGTGCATCGCCGTGGACCACCCTGGGGACGCGGGCGGGAAGTGGAAGGTGAGGTGGACGAGCAGCGTGGACTGCAGCGCGGCGAGGAGCGGCCCACGTATCGGCGTGCGACGCGGTGCTGAGGATCAGCGTCGCGGAAGCACTGGCACCGGGTGGGCGAGCGGACGCACCATGTAGTCGCGCACGTTGGCTGGGCCAGCACGCTCGTAGACGGTCATCTTCGCAATACAGCAGGAGTGAAAGTGAGACAAGATTCAGGCACAGCGCTGCGTTGATGCGATGCGAACCGTGGCAGGTGCGCCAGAAGGGTTGTGCGAGGGGATCGCCTGCCAGGCCATCGAGCTTTTACGGCGGGGAGCCGACCCGAAGCGGAGAGGGGAGAGAGAGCGCGCGACGAATGAAGGCGAGGGAAATTCCGGCGCGAGAAGGGCCGGTACATGTTGGGTGAGGCAAGAGACGATGTGGAGAGCAGGCGGAAGGCTGAAGTGCGGAAGGCGGAGGCGACGGATTGACTGGTTGACTTGATGAGTAGCACGCGCACGGAGCGGAGCAACAGGGCTGTGGTTAGACACTGAGAACTGCTAGTATAAATACATGAGTGCGCGCGAGTCGTAGCAACGAGGTCCGCGCGGGAAGAGGACGGGGATGTCGACGGGAGACATAAATGGAAGGTTTTTACGAAGAGAGAGAGAGTACCGTAGAAGTCGCGCGGCGGCCACGTGGTCACGAGAGGTGGTAGCGAGGCAAGAGGCGGGGTGGTTGGTAGCACGAAGAACGTATCGAAGAGGCTGGAACACCATATAACTGAGACAGACGGCTCGGGAACGGGGCAGGGCGGTAGATGTGGGGCGACAAGAAGTCCGGAAAGGTATACAAAGAAAATTGGAATGCGGGGAGGCGAGGTAGGAGAGCTAGTATGTGTGGGGGAAAGGTGTACTTTAATTGGCAGTCGGTGAGGATACTTGCAGGTCGGGCTCTGCGCGCATGCGGCAACGCGGCGGCGTCGATTCGGCCTGACATGGGGTGCGCTCGGGTGCTAGCGGTCAGAGACGATGAGTGGGTGTGTCGGCGATGGAGTGGTACGGGTGTGTTGGTGGCGAAGTGGTCGGGCCGGTCCGCAGACTGGTGGAGGCGCGGTTGTAGCTGGGTCGTTTGGTACGGGGGGCGCCGCGCGGAATGCGAATCAACGTGAGATGGTAGATGGTGTACTCCAGCATACCGCTCCGCTTTTTAGTGGGTAAACACTGTGAGTCGTTGCCCAAAAACCCGCAAGCGCATCAGGTCCATTGCTTCACTGCTTAAAGGAGAAGCGAACGGACCTTTCGCAAATTCCAGCTTTCCAGAAGATTTCTCAGCTACTCTGCGTTTTCTGCGTCCTCCGTCCTGAGTACTCTGTCAGGTTCGTAGTTGTCTTCTACCCGTGAGGTGTGGGTTTCGTCCAAGCTCCGGAGATCCGCCCCGATGGATCCCATGGCGTCAACCGCGAATTGCAGGGATCCGATGCCGACCTGGAATTCGGAGGCAGACGAGTGGAGTGGGTCATCTGTGCCGAGCTTGACTGTCCGCTGATGAGCCTCCTGTAGGTCAAGCAGAAATCGCGAGACGAGGATCGTAGTAATACTGGCATGAAGAATATCGGAATGTGCCGGTACTAGTAGAAACACTGCAGCTTATACTTACGGATCGTTGAATGCACTAATCAAGGAGTCTTGACCAGGGGTTACTATGATCTGGTACTCGTCGGATTAGAGATGAATGGACGGGACACTGCATACTATATTGCCTACCCCTCTCAAAGTGGTTGCCATGCGGAGAGTGTTGATAATGAGAAAAACACTGTGCAATAAAATACACATTGGACACGATTTCGAAGATATTTTGGACGACGTACACGAAATACATGGCTCCTGTGAACGAGTTATGACTCAGCATGTTGGCAGCGAGAGAAATTGACGTACCGTTGCGTAGCATGATGTCGTTTAACGTTCGTGGAGAACCAGTCTTCAGTTTCATTTCAGAAGAGCGTGCGTTTTTCCAGGTCAGAAAGATAACGATTCCATCTGCGAGGATCAGCAGTGACCGAGAAAGTACCTCCCCTGAAGCAGACCAGACCAAACGCTGTAGTTGAATATGAAACTGCTAATAAATCCAGGTGTACGTACCGCTGTGTTATCGGAGGTATTAGAAATCACGCCCACCGCACTTCGAGAGAATACTCACGTTATCAGGACCGGCGTAGGGATTGAAAGGAACACCACGAGGCAGCCCCAAGTCGGATCACTGAAACTCTGCCTATGATATTGAGGAACACCCTGCTTGTAAGAGCAATGTTACGAGACGTTTCTATTAACAAACAAAGAGTTGACACGCACAAAGTCGAAGCCCACATTCACAATGGAAAATACCAGCACCAGCACTGCAAGTGGGCGACTTTGACTCAGCGCTAATGCGCGCATCGCGGAGAATGCTAGCGGATACTACTCGTCATTACTATCAAGCGATAGGCAGTGTCATACAAACCTGCAGGAGGAATGGGCTGTATGAATTCCAAGACCGAAATGGTGTTGTCCAGTGTGGTGCAGCTGTTGTACACGTACTTGAGCTCAATGAAGTTAAGAACATCATACATTAAACTGACGTCTTGAAAGCACGGGAAAGTGAGTGTCGAGACCTAAGGAAAATAGATGAATACACACCTGGTTAGTAAATGGGCGCAAACTAAGGGACGAAAAAATCCGGAGAATAAGGGCAAGGTAGCGATTCAAGATGAATAGTACTGTTGGGCCGGACACGCGCCGGTTCCAGAAGAAATTGACCTCTCGGCCAAATGTTAGGAGATGGTCGAAAATGAGGATGACTTCTAAATGTAAACCTCTTTCCATAGCTCATATGCACAGAGTACTGACCAGATGCTGCAGCCAACACGTATTCATCGGTGTAACTATGTGATCATGCCAACGAGGTAATGAGAAGTACTTTCATTTCTGGAGAATGGGACATACCCCGCTTGATATTCTTCTATCACTTGCGAAATTTGGTCACCGAGGTCTTCTGTTGACATTGTGCTGTGGGGAGAGTGTGGTGTAGATGGTGTAGATCTCCTTTTTATACGAGGCCTTGTGGGGCCACACACAAACACCGCGACAAGTTGCCATGAATACCTCAGGATACGCCGTACATGCGTCCATGCGTGCGGGCTGCTGCAATATCGTCGCTGGTGGTGGTATAGGTGGAGCTATCTGTCAGCGTGAGGCTGTACTGGTGCAACTTCGACTCAGGAATCGGGTAGTGAGACCACCGCTGTGTTCATCTGAAAGCTGTAACCGAGCACGAAGCGCGTCGGTGCCAGTTCGGAATGGGAACATCATCGGAGCTTCGTATCGACCACCTGAGCTCATATTCTGTACAGATCACTGACTCTTCGCTAATGCGCATTCAGTCGATACAGTCGATACAAATTGCCCCACCCGCTTTATAAACGATATCACAGCGCGTGACACGGCGAGAGACGAGGGCCAGTCTCCGCAGAGAAACGAAGTCACGGCTCTGTGGACCCTGCTCAGTAGTCGCCAGTTCGCGTGGTGTCATCGCGGCTGTCAGCCGAACTGTCCTCCCTCTCGGATCTTCCTCTCAAGCGAGGGTTCACCGGAACCCGAAGCATACACCTCAGTGGCAGTGTGTCCACAGATCCTATGTAAGCTGCACATTGTGGACACAAGATCCACTACAACACTGCATACACTACGAAGCAGGTTAATAGCATCATCAATAGTTTACTGAGTGGGTAAGGCTACGGGAGCCGTCGAACAAAATGTGCCATTAAACGAACAAATGGTCTGAACGCGGCTCGAACCCCCGCACTGCCACTACAAACTAACAGTCACCGACGCTGATCCGACTGAGCCAACGGTCCCATATAGTGGTGGAACGTTTATGCCATATACCATGTTATCTCGGCCCAACAATACGATTATACCGCACTCCCTGCAGACACAATGTCCATTCTATATGCGTCAATCAACACCTCTGTGTATGCCATGTATTTATGGATGCAATTGTCTCACGATATACCCCATGACACTAGGCATGTACAGATACGAATGTAGTATGGACTGACGAGTTAAGTTCTCATATACATATACATACATGTTGTGTCCAGCGCACATAATTATACGGCAAGCACACAAAGCTGGAGACTTTCTGGCGGAAACCTTATATCAACCGCATAAGAGACCCTGCAACCGTGCTGTGTCCACAGCTTGTGTGCGGGGAATTTCTGTGTCCACAGCAAGCTAGCGGTGAATTGCTGTGGACACAGCGAGTGCGCGGGGAGTTGCTGTGGACACAGTGAGTGTGTCAGGATTCCCTGTGGACACAGCTTACATACGGGGAATTTCTGTGTCCACAGCAAGCCAGCGGTGAATTGCTGTGGACACAGTGAGTGCGTGGGGAATTGCTGTGGACACAGCTTACATGCGGGGAATTTCTGTGTCCACAGCAAGCCAGCGGTTAATTGCTGTGGACACAGCGATTGCGTGGGGAATTTGCTGTGGACACAGCGAGTGTGTCAGGATTCCCTGTGTCCACAGCAAGTCAGCGGGGGATCGCTGTGTCCACAGCTTGTACGTGGGGGGTTTCCGTGGACACTGTTACCGTGCGGCGGTGGGCTGTGTAAACAGCTAATTTCCCGACACTTCTCATACAGTGCACACAGACCACACCTCTTCCAGACCTGTAATCAAGGCGAACGCGTACATACCACGACCAGACGAGCGCTCTCGCGCCTCCCACGGTCCCGTGGGCGCGACTTAGCGCTCGATTTCTGCGCACAGGGAGGGCGGGAAGCGAGTCCATCCGATTCACATCACCGCCGCTCCCCCGTTACACATCGGTGGAGTCGTGCGGGCATCTACGCGTGCCCCTCGGGCATTTTGTGGTCTGCGGGTGGCGCAAGCCGCGTGGACGCATGGGAATCCACGCAGCTCGCGAAACTCCGATCCAGGGTCGAGTACTCAAGCTCAAGCCAGTGGAGGCGATTGTAGGTTATACATGAGGCGGAGCATTTTAAGAGAACAGAAGTTGGGAGTATGTAAGTGTGTGTGGAGGAGAGGATGTACTCGAAGCTGCAGGGGCTATCGGGCACGCGGCTGGCGGCGGAGCGTTGACATGTGCCGCCGCTGTACAGCGTAGCGCCATCCTCGACTATGCTTGTGCGCCGCCACCCATCCCTCGTCTACCTCGCTCGGGAAGAGTCAACAAGAGTGAGGGCGAGTGAGCGGGCTCGAGTAAGTGTGGGACGCGGGAAGTCGAATGGAGGATGAAGGAAACAGATACGACGCGCTGCGGGAACGCGCGAGCGCGAGGAAGACGAGAAGGGGATAGACGCGGGGGAATGTACGGGGTCGCGCAAACGGGCGCTGGCAATGGCGAAGGCGAGGTCGAAGTCGTGGGCGAAGGCGTAGGCGTGTGCGAAGGCGTGGGCGTGGGTGAAGACGAAGTCGAAGGCGAAGGCGAGACGAAGTGAGCACACTGCACGCGTAGATGGAGCGGGCAAGTGAACTGCATAACACAAAGTAAAACACGAGTCTAAATACAGGAGGCGCACAGCGCGAGTACGTGGCGATGAAACGAGAACCTGCCGAAGCCAAGGGACGAAAAAATACAAAGCCGAAGCCAAATGTAAGGTAGAGGGACACGAGACACGGCGGAAGGGGCTCTAGTGAGGATGTAATAAGTGGACACAGACCGAAACAGAACGAGCCGAAACGGGGGACGCGAGAAGTGGATACAGAGACAGGAGCGAGAAAGAAAAGAGAAGAGACGAAACTAAATAAAACGTACGAGAAGAGAACTAGGGTACAATCGCGAGAGGAAAGTGTGCCGAGCCGCGAGTGGTGGAGATCGAGGGCGCGCGGCGAAGGCCACGAGCGGGCGCAGAGAGCGCTACGTAGCATCCGTGTGCGTTGGGTCTGGACTAGAGTGATGGCTTGTCGATCCCAGGGCGCTCGTGGGAGGATCGCGATGGGTGCGCGTGGCGGAATGGACGAGATGCGAGCACCTGGACCTCACATCAATCAGGTCCCCTTAGCCTGGGGCACGGGGGGATGGCCCGGGCTAAGGAGACCTGAATCCGTGCTCCCGCGCATGTTTGAATAATGTCCTCAATAAACCCGAGGCAGTTTCCCTGAAGGGAAGTATTCGAACGCCCTCCCTCCCAAGTCCCCCAGCCCATCACGTGTCCCCATCCTTCAGATCTCCCATCAGTCCGCGTTATCTCTCCCGCCCCCGCACGCGTTATCTCCCGCGCCCACGCCCACGTTATCTCCCGCGTCGGCGCCGCGCGCCTCCCTACCCCGCCACCCGTGCTCGCTGTGCCCGACAGTGAGCTCGCTGTTCCTGCACCCTGCCTGCCTCTCCCCTCCGTTTCCCTCCGTTCTTTTTGGTACCTGCTTGTATTTTAAATGCGCACCTAATGATACACAATGCAATAGCTACAGTTGGCTGGGTGTGCCTGCACTGAGCCCTTAAATCCCCCAAAATGCGTGCAACATAGTTCATATATAAGCAGTCCATCGATGGGATAAATTCTGCATAAGTTAGCTGTATATGAGAGCCTCTTTAATCTGAACTTGCAGGTGGATAGCTGAAGGGGTGAAGGCATGATGTCATATGTTATTTCAGAATGACATACTCCACAGTGATATGGCATACACATTTATCGTCTTATGTACACCTAGAATCGTTCATAGAGGACATTCAGAGCGCGTTGCGAAAAGAAGCAAGTGAATAAACGATGTCGTGGTGAGGATATGACATATGCACAGAAGGGGGAGTTGGCTCGAAAATGCGGCCTTCATATGTTTTTGTGTAGACCTCTGATCGCTTCGCATCTTGTTGCATTACGTTTGAATGTATATGGAGAGCTCAGATCGTTGATTTGGTGCTTATCGGTGAAGGATTGGATACAGGAAATGGTATGTCATTATTCTATGACATAGAGTATAGCGATATGACATGTGCTCCGATTATTATTCTGAAAGGCGGAATAGAACGGGGTGCGCTTCTGCTCAACGATGCAGAAACAATCTTGAAGAATGGTCGAGAGGTGGTCGAGATATGTTAGATGGGTCTAGAACGGCAGGTTACACAAAGAACGCCCTTGAACTACCTACACCACTTTGCACACTTAAAGCTCATATGGCATATCTCAACCACCTCTCGACCATTCTTCAAGATTGTTTCTGCATCGTTGAGCAGAAGCGCACCCCGTTCTATTCCGCCTTTCAGAATAATAATCGGAGCACATGTCATATCGCTATACTCTATGTCATAGAATAATGACATACCATTTCCTGTATCCAATCCTTCACCGATAAGCACCAAATCAACGATCTGAGCTCTCCATATACATTCAAACGTAATGCAACAAGATGCGAAGCGATCAGAGGTCTACACAAAAACATATGAAGGCCGCATTTTCGAGCCAACTCCCCCTTCTGTGCATATGTCATATCCTCACCACGACATCGTTTATTCACTTGCTTCTTTTCGCAACGCGCTCTGAATGTCCTCTATGAACGATTCTAGGTGTACATAAGACGATAAATGTGTATGCCATATCACTGTGGAGTATGTCATTCTGAAATAACATATGACATCATGCCTTCACCCCTTCAGCTATCCACCTGCAAGTTCAGATTAAAGAGGCTCTCATATACAGCTAACTTATGCAGAATTTATCCCATCGATGGACTGCTTATATATGAACTATGTTGCACGCATTTTGGGGGATTTAAGGGCTCAGTGCAGGCACACCCAGCCAACTGTAGCTATTGCATTGTGTATCATTAGGTGCGCATTTAAAATACAAGCAGGTACCAAAAAGAACGGAGGGAAACGGAGGGGAGAGGCAGGCAGGGTGCAGGAACAGCGAGCTCGCTGTTGAGGGCGGCGAGCACGGGTGGCGGAGGGGCGAGGCGCCGGCGGAGACCCGGTGGCGCGCAGCGTCCGGATATACCGGGGCCATCAAGGGCGGGCGGCGGCGCGGCGCGGGAATCCGCTCACGCGTGCCGGGGAAGCGCGGAGGACGGCTGGGCCGAGCCCTCGGGGATGTCGGGGAAGGGGGCGGGGACTTGGGCATGTGTCCGCGTTCTAACGTTTCCCTACAAGCTTGTATCTTCGTCGATATCCGTAGAGGCACTACAGTTCGCAGGCTTAGAGACGTTTGCAGTTACCGAAAGTGGAATCACCCCGGGGGGGTGATCACAGATCAATTGACTCTGATCTTGTGAGGTACAGGTGAGGACATTATTCAAACATGCGCGGGAGCACGGATTCAGGTCTCCTTAGCCCGGGCCATCCTCCCCCGTGCCCCAGGCTAAGGGGACCTGATTGATGTGAGGTCCAGGTGGATGCGAGAGGGAGATGGACGAGAGTCGGGCGTCGGCGCGCGGGCGCTAGCGTGGTCGAGGATGGCGCTGCACCATACAGCGGCGGCACGTACGTATCAACGCGTGTCATGTTCGTGACATACTAGTGCAACACTCTGCAGGCATGTGGGCAAGGCCACAGCCAGCCGTGGCCACTATCAGTTTGGATGATGCAAGAGATTTGAATGCATTGGAGGTGTGTGCCTTTCAGGCGCGACACTGGCGATGGCGCGCCGAGAAGGCCTGCGAACTTGATCGAACTGATGCTCAGGCACGGGGAGCGTGTGGAGAAATGACCGTCTCGGGCCGGCCGTGCGCCCTGCGCTATCCCCGAGGTCCCCGAGGCCCTGCCGTCCTCGATGCCCACGCCGCCATCAGTGGCCTCTGCCGCCTGGCCCTCGTGCTCGCCGTCCCCGATGCCACTGCGATATCATCGGACGCTGCGTCCGACTGGGTCTCGGCCGGCGCCTCCCCGCTCCGTCACCCGTGCTCATCGTTCCCGACAGCGAGCTCGCTGTCCTTCCGTCCTGCCCTCCCCTCCCATCCGTTTCCCTCCATTATTTTTAGCACCTGCTTCCATTTAAAACGCGCAATCAATGATATAAGATGCACCAGAGACAGTTTCCTGGGTGTGCCTGTACTGAGCCCTGACACCATCCAAAATGCGTGCAATACAGCAGCATACGCAAGCGTTAAACTGATCATCTATGTTCTGCATCAGATACTTGTAGACAATGGCTGCTTTAAATCAAAATAGTAGGTAGATAGGTGCAGAGGTGCAAGTGTGATGTCATATGTCATTTCAGAATGACATACTTCACAGTGATATGGTATACACATCAATCGTCTTGTGTACACCCCGAATCGTACCTAGAGGACATTCAGAGCGCGTTGCGAAAAGAAGCAAGTGAATAAACGATGTCGTGGTGAGGATATGACATATGCACAGAAGGGGGAGTCGGCTCGAAAATGCGACCTTCATATGTTTTTGTGCAGACACTCGATCACTCTGAATCTTCTTGCATTACGTTTATATGTGCACATCAAACACAGATCGTGGTTATTGCGCTTATCGGTAGAAGACTGGATGCTGGATACGGTATGTCATTATTCTATGACATAGCGTATAGAGAGGTGGTATGTGCTCCGATTGTCGTTCTAAAAAGCGGAATAGAACACGGTGAATCCCAGCAAAATGATGCTCAAAGAACCCTGAAAAAAGGTCAAGAATTGGCTTCGATATGTCAGATGGGCCTGGAATGAGAGGTTGAATAGGACGCCCTTGACCCCTACAAGACCTGGCACTCTCTAAGCTCCTCCGACATATCGAAGCCAATTCTTGACCTTTTTTCAGGGTTCTTTGAGCATCATTTTGCTGGGATTCACCGTGTTCTATTCCGCTTTTTAGAACGACAATCGGAGCACATACCACCTCTCTATACGCTATGTCATAGAATAATGACATACCGTATCCAGCATCCAGTCTTCTACCGATAAGCGCAATAACCACGATCTGTGTTTGATGTGCACATATAAACGTAATGCAAGAAGATTCAGAGTGATCGAGTGTCTGCACAAAAACATATGAAGGTCGCATTTTCGAGCCGACTCCCCCTTCTGTGCATATGTCATATCCTCACCACGACATCGTTTATTCACTTGCTTCTTTTCGCAACGCGCTCTGAATGTCCTCTAGGTACGATTCGGGTGTACACAAGACGATTGATGTGTATACCATATCACTGTGAAGTATGTCATTCTGAAATGACATATGACATCACACTTGCACCTCTGCACCTATCTACCTACTATTTTGATTTAAAGCAGCCATTGTCTACAAGTATCTGATGCAGAACATAGATGATCAGTTTAACGCTTGCGTATGCTGCTGTATTGCACGCATTTTGGATGGTGTCAGGGATCAGTACAGGCACACCCAGGAAACTGTCTCTGGTGCATCTTATATTGATTGCGCGTTTTAAATGGAAGCAGGTGCTAAAAATAATGGAGGGAAACGGATGGGAGGGGAGGGCAGGACGGAAGGACAGCGAGCTCGCTGTCGGGAACGATGAGCACGGGTGACGGAGCGGGGAGGCGCCGGCCGAGACCCAGTCGGACGCAGCGTCCGATGATATCGCAGTGGCATCGGGGACGGCGAGCACGAGGGCCAGGCGGCAGAGGCCACTGATGGCGGCGTGGGCATCGAGGACGGCAGGGCCTCGGGGACCTCGGGGATAGCGCAGGGCGCACGGCCGGCCCGAGACGGGGCGGGCGGAGCAAGGCTGATCTGGAACCTGTGCCTTAATGACGTCAACTCCTGATCGCATTGTCGGCCCTGCGACATCCGCGGCATAGCAGAGGGCCTCCTCCTTATAGCGTAGATGATTTATATATATCTCTCTCTCTCGAAGGACGTAGCGACGTTGCGCGCGCGGAAAGTGGTGGCTAGCCCTGGTGTCGAACTCGCGACCAGCACGGACGCTGGTGCGGGGCATGCGCGTCTGTGTCG